TCAAATATCATCACACGCACTACAGTTTAGAAGATCAGCTACAACAACAAGCCGCTGGCCACACAAAATCTGGATCAACAACATTAAAGACATTCTACTCGGCAGGACAAAAGCCAGTGGCAGCCAGCGTACACTGGATCGCAAATTATTTATCCCCACGCTGCTTAACAAAGAAATGGTTTATGATGATGACGATAACGATGATGACCATTCTTGAAGAATGTCACGTAGCAAAGCCATCGGAATTTGAACTCTGCTGTTGCTGTTGCAGACTGGAACGTAGCGCTTATTTGGATATCTCGTGAGCTGTAATTGCGATAACTAATGCGACAGTAAACACGATTTAAAACAATCAGACAGTCATCTATAAAACGATGAGAAAGATGTATAGCTTGAGAAAGACCAAGAACAAGAGAACACAGTGAATATACAACAGGAGCAAGTGTCTTTAGTCCAGGGGACCAGAAGAGCCAGAACGTTTTTCGAAGAATGACAAACAAAAACAGAAACTAAAATTACTTTCCTATATATATATATATATATATATATATATATATATATATATATATATGTATATATATATATATTCATTCATTCAGTAGCATGTCCCTCGTGGAACCTCGCTGCCATAACAACCCTCCGGAAAACCTTCCTATCCTGAGCAAGATGTCCTGCGTCTGATACACCCATCTGGAGATCATCTGCCACATCCTGCACCCATCTTCCCCTTGGCCTTCCTCTTCCTCTCTTCCCAGGCATATACCCCTCCATTATTGTTCTCTCTAGACTTCCATGACGTCTCAAGTGACCAAAATATTTCAATTTTCTTTGTTTTATTGTCTTTACTAGCCAACCCTCTTCAATATTCAGCTCTTGAAGTATGGATGCATTTGTTCTTTTCTTTACCCAAGATATTGTTAGAACCTGTCTGTAACATTTATATTCAAATGCATTTATGCGCTGTTCCGCTTGTTTAGTAAGTGTCCAGGTCTCACAGGCGTATGTTGCAATGGGAAAGATGCATGCTCTTAAAAATCTGACCTTTGTATATCTATATCTATATATATATATATATATATATATATATATATATATATATATATATATATATATATATATATATATAGATATCACAAGACACCAATAAGTGGTAAAAGAGGATAGGAAACAAAATACAAAGAAGTATTAAAACGGTAATAATGTTTATATTCATATATGCTGATTAAAAAACTTACAATTATAAGGAATCTAATGTACAATCCTCACAAAGGACACTACTAATCTTTAGTCTTCAGGCTCTTCAAATCCGTTCTCGATAGTTAAATTTCTGAAGAATGCAGCTGAAGCTCTAGGGACGCGAGTCCTGCTGGGACTGTTGAAGTCCACGGAATAGAGGCCCAATTTTGCGTCATAACCTGATGTCCACTCCAGGTTGTCCATCAATGACCAGACTGTGTAACCATGGACGTTGACGTCATCCAGTATAATGGCTGCGGTTGCAAGGAGGGAACGTAAGATCGTTAATAGGAATAATATTGTATATGTAACAAACAAAAAGACAATGTATTGATCATATAAAGAAGTAAATAGACAGAAATAAACACTAGACAACATAAACATAAAAAAGACAACATTATAAATGTGTCCTACATTTTATTCTTTGTACTTCTTTCAATAAGTGCAGATCAATACATTCATATATATAATATTTCTCCGCCCCCTACTCCCCCCGTTTATATATGCGTAATAGAACGAATTGTGTTGTCTTTACAAAGTTGCATCATTTAATTTGCGCCCACTTTAAAAAATAACAAAGATTGTGCAGTAATAAATAAATAATATCAAATTTACTAAATGCACCTGATCTGACACACTTAGGAATATTTAGACGCGCTTTAGTTGGTGAGTGTGTCTGGCCAGAGGCATAGCGATTAATTATAATATTACATTATCCCACAAAAACATCGGGTTACTATAATATCTAGGTGTTAACGATAGATTTTTTTTCCTGTTCTATACGACAAGGTTGGCAATTCTTAATATGACCCGCGAACCACAAAATGTTGTGCAACTCTGGTTTAGAGTGTTTTGGCCTACATCTTTCAAGACTGCGCTGAGAACTATATTAACTTCACCACGGAACTTCCCTTTCTGCCTGTGCTCGCACTAACTCTACCCAGTATATATCTGATGGCAGTTATGATATCGCCTATCAGACCGTTATACTTCTCATGAAGTCACTTTAGTTTGCATTATATTTTTTAAAGCTTTTGCAGCATCATTGTTATTAGTATCGTCATCATCATCACAATTATCAACTTCTTCTTAATCATCTTCTTCTTTTTCTTCTTCTTCTTCTTCTTCTTCTTCTTCTTCTTCTTCTTCTTCTTCTTCTTCTTCTTCTTCTTCTTCTTCTTCTTCTTCTTCTTCTTCTTCTTCTTCTTCTTCTTCTTTTTCTTTTTCTTTCCTTCTTCTTCTTCTTCTTCTTTTTCTTTTTCTTTCCTTCTTCTTCTTCTTCTTCTTTTTCTTTCCTTCTTCTTCTTCTTCTTCTTCTTCTTCTTCTTCTTCTTCTTCTTCTTCTTCTTCTTCTTCTTCTTCTTCTTCTTCTTCTTCTTCTTCTTCTTCTTCTTCTTCTTCTTCTTCTTCTTCTTCTTCTTCTTCTACTTCTTCTTTTTCTTCTTCATCTTTTCCTCCTCCTCCTCCTCCTTCTTTCTTCTTTCTTCTTTCTTCTTTCTTCTTTCTTCTTCCTTCTTCCTTCTTCCTTCTTTCTTCTTTCTTCTTTCTTCTTTCTTCTTCCTTCTTCCTTCTTTCTTCTTTCTTCTTTCTTCTTCTTCTTCTTCTTCTTCTTCTTCTTCTTCTTCTTCTTCTTCTTCTTCTTCTTCTTCTTCTTCTTCTTCTTCTTCTTCTTCTTCTTCTTCTTCCTCTTCTTCTTCTTCTTCTTCTTCCCTCCTCCTCCTTCTTCTTCTTTTTTCTTCTTCTTCTTTTCATTGTTAGTGATTTGCGATGTTAGTAATGTTGTTTGTTTGTTTTTATATCCAGTAAACCATGAGTTGTTAACCCCTTGCCTAGGTACTATGGATATCGCAACCCTTCGGCCTTGATTCCATGATAGGTACCGTAAATCTGGGAGAAAATGTGGCTTTTCTGCCTACCCCCGGCAGTGAACCCGGACCACAAGGTGTTAGTCACCCAGTCACCGCGCAGTCTGGTTTAGCCAACTACGCTAGAGAGCCGGGCATCGAGGTTAATAATCACAGAGAGATCGGAATATCCGCATCTGAAACAGACAATTTAGTTTCTTTAGGTATTTTGTGAGAATGGAGGAGCTGGAGAACGTCCAGACAACGCGCTCATTGGAAGTGAGGAAAGTCAGAAGGAGACCAAGGAGATATGTGTTTAACGGTCTGGCACCATAGTAGAGTTTTTGATTGAGATCTTAACGGAGGTCCTAATAAAGATTTTAATTGAGGTCTTAACAGACATTTTGATAGAAATCTTGATCGAGGTCTTGATGTAGATCCTGAGGGAAGTCTTGGCAGAGGTCTTGATAAAGATCTTGATTGGGGACTTCAGTGAGGTCTTGATTTAATGGAGGTCTTCAAGGGGGTCTTAATGAGGGTCCTTTTGGAGGTCTTTAATGAATATCTTGATGGCGTTCTTGATAGAGGTCTTGATGCAGGTCTTGCTGAAGGTGGTGAAAACGGTCTTGTTGAAGGTTCTGTTGGAGGTCTTGGTGGAGGTCTTGCTGAAGGTGGTGAAAACGGTCTTGTTGAAGGTTCTGTTGGAGGTCTTGGTGGAGGTCTTGCTGAAGGTGGTGAAAACGGTCTTGTTGAAGGTTCTGTTGGAGGTCTTGGTGGAGGTCTTGCTGAAGGTGGTGAAAACGGTCTTGTTGAAGGTTCTGTTGGAGGTCTTGGTGGAGGTCTTGCTGAAGGTGGTGAAAACGGTCTTGATAGAGGTCTTGATGGAGGTCTTGCTGAAGGTGGTGAAAACGGTCTTGATAGAGGTCTTGATGCAGGTCTTGCTGAAGGTGGTGAAAACGGTCTTGTTGAAGGTTCTGTTGGAGGTCTTGGTGGAGGTCTTGCTGAAGGTGGTGAAAACGGTCTTGTTGAAGGTTCTGTTGGAGGTCTTGGTGGAGGTCTTGCTGAAGGTGGTAAAAACGGTCTTGTTGAAGGTTCTGTTGGAGGTCTTGGTGGAGGTCTTGCTGAAGGTGGTGAAAACGGTCTTGATTGAGGTCTTGCTGAAGGTGGTGAAAACGGTCTTGTTGAAGGTCTTGAGGCAGGTCTTGCTGAAGGTGGTGAAAACGGTCTTGCTGAAGGTGGTGAAAACGGTCTTGTTGAAGGTCTTGAGGCAGGTCTTGCTGAAGGTGGTGAAAACGGTCTTGTTGAAGGTTCTGTTGGAGGTCTTGGTGGAGGTCTTGCTGAAGGTGGTGAAAACGGTCTTGTTGAAGGTTCTGTTGGAGGTCTTGCTGAAGGTGGTGAAAACGGTCTTGTTGAAGGTTCTGTTGGAGGTCTTGGTGGAGGTCTTGCTGAAGGTGGTGAAAACGGTCTTGTTGAAGGTTCTGTTGGAGGTCTTGGTGGAGGTCTTGCTGAAGGTGGTGAAAACGGTCTTGATGGAGGTCTTGCTGAAGGTGGTGAAAACGGTCTTGATTGAGGTCTTGCTGAAGGTGGTGAAAACGGTCCTGATGGAGGTCTTGAGGCAGGTCTTGCTGAAGGTAGTGAAAACGGTCTTGTTGAAGATTCTGTTGGAGGTCTTGAGGCAGGTCTTGCTGAAGGTGGTGAAAACGGTCTTGATGGAGGTCTTGAGGCAGGTCTTGCTGAAGGTAGTGAAAACGGTCTTGATGGAGGTCTTGAGGCAGGTCTTAAAAGAAGTCTTGATAGAGGTCTTGATAATGGTCTTGATAGAACTCTGATAAAGGTCTAGATCGAGCTATTCATAAAGGTCTTGATGAAGTTATTGATGGAGGTTTTAAGGAAGGTCTTCAAGAGGTATTGAGGCAGTACTTGGGGGAGGTCTGAACAGTGTCTTGGGGGAGGTATTGATGAATGTCTTGAGGAAGAACTTGATGAATGCTTCAAGGGAGGTTTCGATGACGGTCCTGATGGAGGTCCTAATGTAAGTCTTTATGGAGATTTTGATGTGGATCCTGATGGAGGTATTGATATAGATCTTGTAGGGTCTCTTGATTTTTATCGATATAGATCTTGATGTGGATGTTGATGGGGGGGGGGGGGAATTGATAGAGATCTTGATGGAAGATTTAAAGAAGGTCATAATGGAGGTCTTAATGAAGGTTTCGATGCATGTACAGATGGGGGAGAGGGTAGGGGGAGGGGCTTGTGGAAGTCTTAAAGGTTGTGTGAAAAGTCTAAAGTAAATTCTCGATGGAAGTTTCCATGGTAATATGTCCATGGTGATGTGCTTAAATAGTCTGCTTCCTGATGTAAAGGTGGTGAGTTTGTTGTCAACACTGAATGGTTTAGTTTCCATTTGTGGGTTCTGGATCCCCATTGGGGGAGAAAACAAGAATAGACCCACTGTCCCCTAACAAGCACGCCTTAGAAGTTGACTAATTAGGGGTGTTTTCTTCGATGCTGGAGTGTGTCTGCCTGAGAGGTGAGGAGCTAACGGTCTGTAAACAGATAAGACACATCTGTGAAACAGATGTGAACGGGAAACTCAGATTCTGAAACCAGACTCATTTCTAGAAGTGGAAGAACACCCAGGGCTTTCTGCTGGTGAATACAGCTGCTCAACGTTAAAAAGAAAAAAAATATTTAGGTAAGAGTGCAATGTTTCCTAGATTTGTAGAGGTCATCGTTTGAGCTAACGAATTCGTGCTTCCTGTAGCCTTCCCAGCAAGACGCTCTTTTTTCAACAGAACCATATGAAACATCAACATGGTTTATCTTCCTAGCTTCGAGAAATTTTAACACAATGTATAGCATCGAGAAACTGGAGATAGACGACATGTCGAACATAAGAGGTGAAACCCAAAATAATATACTGTGTTAACATATCTGGACATTAACAAAAGAACACGAGAGAAGACTAACCACATGTGAAATGAGATGTATGAGAATGGCTGCGAATAAAACCAGAAGAGATCGAATGAGAAACGATGTGATTACAAGAACTATTGGAACCATACCCATCGTTAAATTTATTGAGAAGCAAAGAATGAAATGGTTTGGTCACCTAATGAGAATGGAACCAACGATGCCAGCATCAAGAGCATACGACATGAAAATCGAAACACCAAGAGGCAGGGGAAGACCAAGAAGAAGATGGATTGAAGGAGTCACGGACAACTTGAGACTTCATGACATCACGGCATATGAAGCGACTGAGCGCGCCCTGACTCGGTTGCCGATCATCTGATAGACTGCGACGCCTAGCGGCACAAGCAGATTTTGACAAAAGAAGAAGAAGAAGATAACATATCTATATAAATCAAAAGCACACAACATAATCATTATCTCATACACCTGGCTGTGCCGTTACGTTCTACTGGGTTCATATTGCAGTCTTTCCTCCATTCAACTCTATCATTTGCAATCCTCTCGATACCATAGATGAAATCCAATCTAGCTCTTTTAGCTTTTCTCAACAACCTTTGTTTCAGGGTTTCACTTGGACGGCATTGTTTCATCAACCTGTATGTTTTTCATGAGTGTATTTCTGGTGATTCTTTGTCTGTTTCTCCTAATGGTTTGCCCAATATATTGCTATCTCTTTATGTCTAGTGGCATATGAGGCTTTAGAGATGACTCTCTATGCTTTCTTGTCCTTTGCACTTTTTAGTGCACTTTTCTGTTTCAGAGATCATCATCATCATGTGCCTTGCCGACTTGCGTGGCTGATCATACCTCCCCACAATCTGCGATCTCCTTCAGCATGTGCCGACACACCTCTATGCCATGCAACAAGACTGTAAAGAATCTTCCCTCGTTGTCTTCCTCTATACCGCCTTTCACAGATCTGTCCATTGATCACAACATGTTCCATTTTCACTCTTCTCATAACATGGCCAGAAAATGATGACTGTCTCCTTCTGATGTCTGTGATAAATTGTCTTTGGGCTCCAGCCTCTTTCAAAACCTCTCGGTTGCTCTTTTTGGCTGTCCAATGTATTTTAAGCATTCTTATGTAAAACCACAGCTCTGAGGCTGGATGTATGTAGCAAGCAAGAATTCGTTTTCTAACCACTAATGACAGAGATATATTGCATACAATGTTCTTCATTTTATAAAATGCATTTTTTGCCTGTCCTTTTTTGTTTTACTATCTCAGTTTATTCATCTTTCATTCTTTTCTTTGATATCAACACTTCTATCTTCCCATTATTCCTACTATATGAGGCCCATTCTTTCACTTTCAGAGGATTTTGAACTGTGCAGCTGCTGCGCAGACGGGGGTGCATACTTGAATGTCCCGAGGGCTGTCATTTTGATTGTTAACGCATCCGTCAACAAAATTAAACAAACCATACAGGTACCTATAATAAAAAGGAGAAAAATGTATATTCGAAAAAGATCAAAAACAGGAGAGCGTAGAGAAGCTACAACAGAAGCTAGTGTTTTTGGTCCAGGCGACAAGAAGAGCCAGAACCTTTCTTGAAGAATGACAAACAAAAAAAGAAACTAAACCTACTTTCCTATATGCACATTTACCTATATAATCCGAGACACCAGTAAGTGGTAAAAGAGGATAGGAAACAAAAATACATACAAAGAAGTATCAGTTTGTCAGTCAGTTAGTAGAGGTTTCAAAAACATCGAAATCGGGTTTCCCCTTACTTGCTCCATTCCTGTGCCAGTGCGATTCAAATAAATGTCCCTCAGTGTTGCCTATGAAAAACTGGCAAAAAAAAAAAAAAGTTCCGGAACCATCCAGTGAAAGCGTATTTCAGTTACTCGAGGTGCCAAAGCCAACTGTCGCCGCTAGAAATGCAGTTTGTCGTTGATGGAAGTAGTCGGGCACGATCAGTTGGAGTGCAACACAGGTAGAATTCTTACATAAAGTATTTCATCAGCTCGCACGTAAACCGGCTACCGGCCATAGTGAAGAAAACGACACAACAGCTGCACAAATGAAAATACATTCCATAAAAAAAGAAGTATCAAAACAATAATAATGTTTATATTCCTGTACGCTCAGTTAAAAATTTTATTATTATTTGAAATCTAATGTACCATTCTGACAAAGAACACTTTTAATCTTTAGTCTTCAGGCTCTTCAAATCCATTCTCGATAGTTAAATTTCTGAAGAATGCAGCTGAAGCTCTAGGGACGCGTGTCCTGCTGGAACTGTTGAAGTCCACGGAATAGAGGCCAAATTTGGCGTCGTAGCCGGTTGTCCACTCCAGGTTGTCCATCAATGACCAGGCTGTGTAACCATGGACGCGGACGTGATCCAGTTTAATGGCTGCGGTTGCAAGGAAGGATTGGAAAACCGTTAACAGCATTAACTGCATTGTCTTTACAAAGTTGCATCATATTATAGAACAATTTTTTTTTGGGTGATATCACATGAGGTAGGAGATTGGCCACTCGCTGACCGTATCTAGGAGGTTTGTTTATAAATGGTCGTCCTTCCACACCCCTTTACTGGATTCCCTCTTTCCACCAACCATGGCTGATAACTTGCTTTGGCACAGTACATGCTGATGGTGTTCATAACCGGAGTAAAGGGAGCCAACCCAAAACAATAGCACCACTATATACATGACACACATAACAAGCCAACCTATCCATAATGATTTGATTTGATTCAAGAACCGACATCACATTACTCAGTGCATTCCCATATGCGCCCTGTCCCAATCGTCAGCAGCCAGCGAAGAGTTCCGATACTAATGGTGCCAGTAGCATTCTGATTGCCTTTTCTCTGAGCCCCGAGCATCTGCAAAAACCCCTCGTCACCCTCCCCCCTTCCTTTTTTGCATCAATCTCACCAGACTGTGGTGATCCATTTGTTCCTCCAAACTGTACACGCTCTCCTACAAGGCACTAACCACGTCTGCCTTATCATGCATCTATATTCCACCAAGTTGTGCAGAGCCAGCCAGTATGTCCGCATGTTCATTTCCTAACACATCAGCGAAAAAATCCAGATAGTACTCCTCACCTGTGACCTCCGCAGCGAGGAATGCCTCTCTGCACGAAGCATGCCTATCCTGACCTTCCGCAGCATGCTTTCTGAGTCAGTTTCAATCACGATGTGTGTGTGTGTGTGTGTGTTGTGTTCTCTAATCAGTGGAAAGCTGCAGTGAATAGCTCTACCTCAACATACCTTTAGGTAACTATTTATATCTACGAGTACTGTAACATAATACCTCAACATATCCTTAGGTAACTATCAATATTTGCGATAACTGTAACATAATACCTTAACATATCCTTAGATAACTATTAATATCTACGATAACTGTAACATAATACCTCAACATATCCTTAGGTAACTATCAATATTTGCGATAACTGTAACATAATACCTCAACATATCCTTAGGTAACTATCAATATCTACGATAACTGTAACATAATACCTTAACATATCCTTAGGTAACTATCAATATCTACGAGTACTGAAACATAATACCTCAACATATCCTCAGGTAACTATCAATATCTACAAGTACTGTAACATAATACACCACGCCAAGTATGAACCTTTAATGAGGTCAGTCTCTTTATTATGGATGAACACATTTCCACGAAGATGGATTGGTGATCAATGACTCGCTGTCAAGTCTACTGATGCCTTTCCAAATACTCTCATCTGCAGTCTCTTCAGACATGTACAAAACACCCCAGCGAACTAGTTACCAGGTGCCCTCTACGGGCAGCTCACACCTGATAGAGCAAATAAACCTATGTGATGTGCAGTGGCAATCCTCTGACGGTTCGACCTCTAAACGACCCCGCCACCCCAGAACTGAAGGTGGATGTACCTGTTGGTATAAACTCTAGACTGCCTGTCTGCTACACCAACCACTCATCGATGCATCACTGACTAACATCCCGTCAATCAGCCTCCGAAACTTCCCCATCACAATTCCCCGTTGGTCAACACATACAAAGTTCCCCAACGTGCGACGTTGCCGCCCCTGTGCCGACACTCCCTTTCCCACCCAATACACATTGACCGCACAACATTCCATTCTGGGAATCACACTGACACACTTCCTAAGTCTAACTCGGATCCACCTAAGTCATCCAGACAGAACAAAACACTGCTATAACACAGTCCATGCATCGACTGGACTCGAACAATTAGAGAACACACACGTCCACATAGTTAGAAAACTACAGACTCACTCAAACTCCTATTGGACTTCTCGCACCAGCAGTCAGTTACACATGGATCTGTTATTAGTCTCCACACAACTCGGGGAGTTTACAGTCGTTCGTGTATACCAAGCAACCTGTTTCACCCGCTGCAAGTGTCTGAAGCGTTTACATTCCCAACCAATATGCGTTCCCAGGTGCACCTCTAGTCTGACTTCATTAACTCTTTAAACATCACAGTAATTTCGCACACAACAGATGAGAAACTGGAGAATGCCCAGGAAACGCGGACATTTGAATTGAAAAAAAACCAGAAGGAGACAAAGGGAGATATCGGTGTCATAACATGAATAACATGTGTACAAGAAACGACAAGCAGAACTCGTAACAGAAGGCGGTCGACAACATAACTATTTGAGATAGATAAAAACTGACAATAATAACAATCAGCATTTCGTACACCCGTTCTACACTAAATAAAAGAAGGGTGGCCTTAACCCATTAAATTAGAAAGGATTTATCAACATAAAGGGTCTATGGGTATGCATTAGCAAGCGAATAGTTTTGAGAGCATGCACTTTCCTGTAACAACATGGGGATGTGAGTCACAGACTATGTAGCAACATGGGGATGTGAGTCACGGACTATGTAGCAACATGGGGATGTGAGTCACGGACTATGTAGCAACATGGGGATGTGAGTCACGGACTATGTAGCAACATGCGGATGTGAGTCACGGACTATGTAGCAACATGGGGATGTGAGTCACGGACTATGTAGCAACATGCGGGATGTGAGTCACGAACTATGTAGCAACATGGGGATGTGAGTCACGGACTATGTAGCAACATGGGGATGTGATTCACGGACTATGTAGCAACATGCGGATGTGAGTCACGGACTATGTAGCAACATGCGGATGTGAGTCACGGACTATGTAGCAACATGCGGATGTGAGTCACGGACTATGTAGCAACATATGGATGTGAGTCACGGACTATGTAGCAACATGCGGATGTGAGTCACGGACTATGTAGCAACATGCGGATGTGAGTCACGGACTATGTAGCAACATGGGGATGTGACTATGTAGCAATCATTAAGGAAGAAAATACGGGTTTTTGAGCTGACATCCTAGAGACATGTTTTTTTTTTTCAAATACAACGGAGTGAATATAAAACAAATACTGACATCCTAAAGGATGTGAACATCAAGAAAAACAGGTTCATAAACAGCATTCAAACAGAAAAGAAATTAAAATTAACACTAAACTTGACACTTTTGGTTCTAATGTTGAATCAGTACTGTTATATGGAGCGGAAACAAGGAGAACAACTACGACATTTAGTAATAAACTACACATTCATTAACTGGTGCCTGCATAGAATGGAGAGAATGAAATCGTATGATAGAATCACTAATGTAGAGCTTTGGGAAAGAACTGAACAAGTTACAGTGCACCAACAGGTGAAGAAAATACGCTGACCTTGGAACGGACATGCCTTAAGAAAACGTGAGAACAATATAACTAGAATGTACTTTTACTGGAACCCACACAGGCAAACAAATAAGGACCAACAAAGCACACACACACACACACACACACACAAACACACACACAAACACACACACAAACACACACACACACACACACACAGAAGGGAGCTAGAGAGCAAATTTTAAAAAAGATGGAAAGGACATGGAGAGAGCTGCATGCGATAGCAAAAGTTAGAACGATTTTGATGTGAGTTGGTTGACAGCCAATGCTCCACTGAGGCATAGAAAGGCAGAAAAAAAAAGTAAAGATCCCTTTACACGCCCTTAGGCGCATCGGGCATTGGGAAGAGCACCCATATTTTTCAGACCAATCGGCACTCTGTGGGTAATGTGGTCAGCATTACGCCGGCCGTCTTTACTTTCCCAGGACAGCCCATCCTGGTACCCATTTAAGGCTGGGTCGACCTGCGACGTCCCATACCACGATAAAAATCCACGCAGCCCACGCAGGTTTCGATCGCGGTACGTTGGATTACGAGTCAGACTCGCAACGCCTTAACCACGGACGCCGCCTTAGAAAGGCAGAAGGAGAAGAAAAATCACTCCAGCATCTTGTTTCGAAAACTGAAACACTCTAGCGGTTTCAAACATCACTTTGGATTGAAAGGAACTGTAATGAAAGGCATGGAGACGGGAAAGAATGTCAGGAGCCGACGAGCATAAAGATGTGTACATTAAAGGGACCTAGTTTCTTTTATGTAATAAACAAAGAGGCAGTGTATTTATTGACACTCATAGAAAAAAGTAAACAGAAGGAAGAACAACATAGACAACATAACAATCGAACGCTATTGTAACCATGCCGGGAATCGAACCTGTCACTTCCACATGACGTGTGCTCCTCGCCATGGAAACTAGTACACTAAGAACATGGTCAGCTAAGCACCTGCCAACCCCCCCCCCCTCCCTTCCCCCTCCCAAAAAATGGTGTCTTCGTTGGCCATGTCTGTCGTACAGCTTAAAATCCAGAACTATTAAATATGGACAGAATTCATCTCAAACCATTGAAAAGGCACCACAGGTTATTTAAATTTATATTAAAGAAGCAGAGGTAGGACACGATCATCGTCACGTAGCAGGTCATTTGTAGATTGTTTGGAACATTACTACCATGACAACCCGCCTGAAAGAAATGGAACCTACCAATCAAATAAATAAATTTCTTAAATGTTTGCGCATTCTAGACAAAGCATTACGGTCTAATGTGTTTGTAAACACAGCTATAATTTACAAACACAGTAGATCGTAATGATTTGTCTAGAATACGCAAACATTTAAGAAAAGTATTTATTTGATTGGTAGGTTCCATTTCTTTCAGGCGTGTTCCAAACAATCTATAAATGCCCGCGTTACGTGACGATGATCGTGTCTTACACTTTAAGTTGAAATGATGTTTTATAATTTACAAATATAATGCTTACTCACCTTTCAGGACTTCATTGATGTAGTATTTATAATAGTAAATTCTTTCTGGATCGTCCAGCCCACCCTCGGTAGAGCGTCCACTCTCCGTGATGAAGATGATTGGATTGTTGTAATGTTCTTTGACCCATCTCAAAATATATCTGATACCCCATGGATTTACTTTCAACCAGTCTTGGGCCGTACTGGAGAATAAAGTTTACAAAGTTAAAGTCACAATCGCGAAGGATCAGCTAATTGCAACTGGTTATCTATCATAGCTGGGTCTATCTCCTCGGTGACAGGGCCACCTATTGGCTCGGCGGAAGAACACTTCGTCGCCGGTCGGGACAGATTTAGGGTCTGTCACCTTCAATCGCATGAACACTGCAAGAGTTCTTTTCAGGGCTCTTGGTGGTTGTTTAATGCTAAGCCATTTTATATGGTGCACATAACCTAAGTCTCAATTTTAACCTGAAGCTTCCCCTTTGGGGATGCTGGTTAAACGCGACAATTTATTTAGCAAAGCACCATGGGTCTATCTCCTTACGTCTGTGTGTGTGTGTGTGTGTGTGTGTATGAATGTGTATGTTGTTGTGTATATGAATGTGTGTATTGCTATGTGTATGAATATGTGCATACTAATGTAAAGGGCCTCTGACCCACCCACCCCCCCCCCCCCAAACATCTCCAACACTGTTAGAAAATGTCGCCGCTCCTCATATGTATAAACGCTACCCATTAAAGTATTATTGAATATTTTGCATATTATCTCTAAATTATTATTTACAATCACAAGTCAGTGAGCAAATGGTATTAATAATAATAATAATATTAGCATTGCTTTTATTATGCACTAAAACAACAGTCTCTAATCCGCCCTCTTCCCCCTCCTGTAATTTTTTTTTTTTGAGGGTTCACTTCATACCAACATCAACAACAAAGGGTCAAGGATAAAACAGTGTCTTACACTCCCCAACAACTAATGGTCAATGATGAAACAGCGACTTACACTCGCCAACAACTAATGGTCAATGATAAAACAATGACTTACACTCCCCAAGAACTAAGGGTCTATGATAAAACAGTGACTTACACTCCCCAACAACTAATGGTCAATGATAAAACAATGACTTACACTCCCTAATAACTAATGCTCAATGATAAAACAGTGACTTACACTCCCTAATAACTAAGGGTCAATGATAAAGCAATGACTTACACTCCCAAACAACTAATGGTCAATGATGAAACAATGACTTACACTCCCCAACCACTGATGGTCAATGATGAAACAATGACTTACACTCCCCAACAACTAATGGTCAATGATAAAACAATGAATTACATTCCCCAACAACTAATGGTCAATGATGAAACAATGACTTACACTCCCCAACAACTAATGGTCAATGATAAAACAATGACTTACACTCCCAAAAAACAAATGGTCAATGATAAAACAGTGACTTACACTCCCCAACAACTAATGGTCAATGATAAAACAGTGACTTACACGCCCCAGCAACTAATGGTCAATGATAAAACAGTGACTTACACTCCCAAATAACTAATGGTCAATGATAAAACAGTGACTTACACTCCCCAACAACTAATGGTCAATGATAAAACAGTGACTTACACTCCCCAACAACTGATGGTCAATGATGAAACAATGACTTACACTCCCCAACAACTAATGGTCAATGATAAAACAGTGACTTACACTCCCCAGCAACTAATGGTCAATGATGAAACAATGACTTACACTCCCCAGCAACTAATGGTCAATGATGAAACAATGACTTACACTCCCCAGCAACTAATGGTCAATGATGAAACAATGACTTACACTCCCCAGCAACTAATGGTCAATGATGAAACAATGACTTACACTCCCCAACAGGGATCCGATTTGATGTCGATGTCCTGATCCTCCTGGTAGTTTGGCACCGAATCCGGGTTAGGTTTGTTGCCGATCAGGTTGGATGTATAATGGTTTATTCCAATAAAGTCATAGGCACCTAGAGAAGACCACGGAGAAACGGATGATTAACTTTGTTTTTTTTGTTTTTGTTTGTTTGATTTAGCCCCTGACACGTTTTCTTCGCCTGTGTGTTGAGGAGCCCTCGCGGGAATGAAAGAATAGTAACACTGTACTATACCAGGCATGTCAAAAGAGGCGACAGAGGGATCCTGTAAAAACAGCAGTAAAAACAACCCCAGCCAGCCATGTACACGTCAAATAGAGGAACAGGAAATGCCCAGTGAACCAAGAGGGAGGTTGGTGTGGGAGGGGAGGGGGGGGGGTATGAATCCCTTCTAAAAGAAGATTGATGACACGAGGCGGCGAAAACTCAAAGAATTCTTGTAGTCGACGTACCTCCTTTCAGCAATGAAAATATCTAGAACTGACACCTGGAATGTTGGAATCATGGCCAACTCCAGCAGTCAGACCGAACAGCTCAAAAAAGGGATTCCCGTCTGAGCTGTTTGGCCTAACTGCTGGAGATGGCCATGAACATAATAAAGGCGGCCACAAAATACATGGAGATGTGAACTAGAGAGTGAACTTAAAAATATGGGTAGGGCAAGGGGAAAGCTGCATTCAATAGCCCAGGATAGAGCTACTTGTCTGATTTGACTGATGGCCTGTTTCCACCATTTGTGAATAAAAGGTATAGAAAGCGATACGTTTTTAAACTACCTATTTCGACGATGAGAAAGTGAGTCCATCGCTTAGAGAGCAATGGGGCATACATCGTCATCATGTGACCTCACACTATCACCAGAATCATGGATATGATCAGCTTTATGTTTTCGACCTGTCAATATCACTAAATCAATCCAGTGCCGTCTCCACAGTGAGGTTTCGCTGCAATGGATCTCTAACATAATCTGTCTCTTGACCTAGTTGTGTACTCTTTCAGACTGCAGCCTGTCCACCTCTTGGTGTTTTCCTCCCACTTGTATTGTTGCCAACTTCTTGCTCTCTTGCCATCGATCTTTTCCTCCAGTATGATTTTGAAAGCGTGTTCTGTATTTTTAGTGTGTGTGTTTTTATTTTTTTTGTTATCCCTTTAGCTGTAAGTAATGTGCTCATCTTATTGAAGACAGATTTAGCCATTCATTTTCTCTTTTTAATTTCGAACCCAAATAGCTAAACCAGCCAGTAAATAATACCATGTACAGTAACAGGTGAACCACACCAACCATCCCAGCCACATCACCACGTGTTGCCTAATCCATATTACAGTTTCAGGAAAACACCTAAAAGAACCTTAAGATCAAACATGAATTTGAAACTGCAGGCCTAACTAACACATGCATAAAATATGGGTTGTACATTCCCGTTGTGTGCCTGTCAGACAGGACTACAAATACCTGATTATATTCTGTAGACGTGCCCACTCTACCTACAGCTTCGAAAAGAAATCTGGCCTCAGAAGCAAAGTATGCAGAGCAAGCTACGAGGAACCATGAATGACCTGCAACTGATACGTGAGTTCCTAGAGGCAACCCAGCTGATGGGCTGACCAGAGCATACGAAGCCGATAGCAAAAAAGAAGAAACATGAATTGATTTTTACAGGTCCGGAGCTCTCCAGCATACAAAAAAAAATTATTTAAAAAAAAAACTGATGCAGTTCCTTTGACACTTTTAATATTCAAACTTTTTAAAACAATCAATATGGAGTGCAGAACGGTTAAGCTGTTACAGTGTTGTCTCTTCCTTGGGAGAGGGGGGGGGGGGAGGAGTGGTGATTCTGTGAGTAGCAAGGATTATTAACAAGACAGAACCGACTCAGGACCATGTAATTGGATACACGAACAAAATGCAACCGGGCAGAAAATAAAACATGTACACTTATCACTTGTCAATACACACACAAAAAGTGTGAGTGGGGAGAGGGGGGGGGGGGGGGGGGGGGGGGGGGGGGGGGGGGCAAGCTACACAACAAGGATAATAGGACCACAGTGGGACCAAGAAATTTAAGTTCATCCGGTCAGCGACACAAAGCCCCATCAAGCTCAATAATACTCCAATCTCAGCCAATGCACTTGGCACAAATAATCCAGACCACAATTATAACTGAATGCTGCTGCCAGCTGGTTTAACTTGGCTGACATTTTAATGTTTTTCTTCTGTAACAGACATGGGCATTTGAGTATATACTTGCCTTCCCCTTTCAATTAATCTTATCAGACGTTACTAAGTTTTGTAGTCCAATCCTCCTCATAACATGTACAATAATGTATAACTGACATAGTTACCTTTGTTCTGCTCCTTTTCGCTATCAGTAAACTCCGGAAGTCGGCTTGTAGCGAAACCTTGTCGTTGGCTCTTTTCTGCAATGAATTCTTTCATGACTTGTGGGTAATCGCCACTTCCGGAAAATATGGCGTTGCCAAACCTGCAAATCAACGAGGAAATCTATCTTATCCTTGCTATAAACAACTTGTCCCAGCCACTACACTGGGCCTCAGGTTACTTACTTTTTAGCCTTAGGGTACCCTAAATAGCTGTGTGTTACTGTGGAACGGAACGCTCAGTTGGACCGAGCCATATCAAGACTAAACAATGTGACGGACACCCAGCAAGAAAATGAATGAGGACGAGATATCAAGGACAGAAGACAGGACGCATCAAGAAAACCACCACATGGACTAACAGGAGTACAGACACATTACACAGTCCCACCTAGATATGAGAGAAAAATGGACAGGAAAAGTTGTGCCCTCGTCTTGACCACTGGACCACAATAGAGAAACATTTTCGTGAAAAGTGGACACCTCATCTGGAACACAGGGCCAGAATAAGGAAAATGGACACCAAAAAAAAGGACCTACGTCAGGACCAAAGGACCAAAATGGAGGAAAATACACGCGAAAAGTAGAACATTCATCTGGACCACATGACCAGAATAGTGAAAAATTGACATCAAAAGTGGACCCCTCATCTAGAACACAGGACTAGAATCGAGGACAAATGGACATGAAAAGTAGACCTCTTCATCTAGACCTCAGGACAAGAATGGAGGACTGAGCCATATTCAGAGTTACAACATCCCACAGTTGGGAAGGAAAGGATTGGGGGGGGGGGAGTCGGGGGGGAGGGGGGGGGACCCCGACCAAATCCTGACATAACAGTGTGAGATATTAAATGAAAGCAGATCACAATTATAACCTAAGATGTTCTTACATCGTGGAATGTAGTCAACTGTTGCTCCCCCCCCCCCCCCCACCACGCCACCCCACTAAATTAACAATAGCAACCGTAAAATAGTTTCGTAATCTGCCCCTGTTTGATTTTCAGTGTCTCAGACCAACCCAAAGCATTCATTTGTGTCTGAATAATTAATTATTATGCCTGGTGCGCTAGGATGTCGATTCTTTAATAAGTAATCAATCATTAATCAGAAGAATTACCTCTCTGGGTCCCAGAGTACGCTGTATCAAATCAATCCTTTCCTTAGCTTGGTAAATTCTCTTACCTTTTTGTGTTTGATCAGAACAAACTCAAGAACGCATGCTCGCGCTACTAAGGACCCTACAGTTCAAACTTAATGTGTGGGATGAGTTCGGCTACTGCTTATATGTTTGCTGAGCAGCAGATGGCTGCATTTAACACATATAACCTCTATTGTAAATTTGTAAACTTTAGATCCTGTTTCCCCCCCCCCCTCTCTCTCTCTCTCTCTCTCTCTCTCTCTCTCTCTCTCTCTCTATATATATATATATATATATATATATATATATATATATATATATATATATATACAATTAATATGTATGGATGTTCAAGAAACAATTTCTGGATCCCTCGGAGATGTGGTTTTACAGAAGACTGCTTAGAATACCTTGGACAGCCAAAAAGAGCAACCAAGAGGTTTTGAAAGAGGCGGAAGACCGAAGACAACTTATCACAGACATCAGAAGGAGACAGTCATCATTTTTCGGCCATGTTATGAGAAGAGGGAAAATAGAACATGTTGTGACCACTGGAAAGATATGTGGAAGGAGAGATAGAGGAAGACAAAGAGAGAAGATGCTTGACAGTCTTGTTGCATGGCATGGAGGTGTGTCGGCACACGAACTGATACATGCTGCAGGAGATCGCAGATTATGGAGAGGCATGGTCGCCCACGCCGGTCGGCAAGGCACCTGATGATGATGATGATGTATGTAAAAGGAAATATACATACATGAAAATGTATCGATTATTTGGAGGAAAAAACCTGTATATATGAAAAGCATGGAACGTGTAAACAAAAACTTAAAACGAGAACTTCTATTCATTGTTCGGGTAAGAGACATTTAACCGTCTTGCAAATTTTATATAGAAGTTGTCCACTGACTGACTGACTTTCTACCCCACCAGGACATCACACAAGCGATAAACACCCGATGACACAAAGTGCCACCATGTGGATGAGGATCGCCGTGGAGAGGTCCCAGAAACCGCGTTCAGACATCTGGCCATATTTATGGCCTGCCTATATTGCGGCCCCTGGCAAAAGCCAGGGTGGGGCTTCAAATAACAAAAAATTTCGTCCTAAAAAGGACGAAATTAAACGGCAATAAAGTTGTCCACAGAAGGATTTAAAGAGCCTTATTCCCAGTTCCGGCACCGTTTTAGAGGTACAACAACAGCAGTATATTATACTCACCAGCCTAACTTAAACTGTATGGCTCTCTCTGCTGCAATGGCGTCTTTCAAGGAATCAGTAAGCGGTTCCTTCCACTCAATGTCCAATGTGATGCCAACGTTACCTAGGGAAATAGCCATTTGTGGATGTATGGTCATAACCGTTAACATTACCAAGGGAAATAACCGTACATGGTAACGATAGTCGACATTAGCAAGGGAAATAACGATGCCTGGTGGCAAAAGTCGACATTACTAAGGGAAATAACCATGTGTGGTCGCATTTTGTCAGTAAAGTTGTTACAATAACTTTGTTTTAAGCGATATACGAGGAGACGTCAAATAAAGACCCTAAAAGTGTGTCATACATTACAGTGATAGTGCCACTGTCTTATAACCTGTTAATCTTGTTATTAAGGATGTCAAGAGTGTTAAGCATTTGACATCACGATGTAGACTAACACAATGCCGTCATAAACATAGTTTAAAAGCATTCCCAGTTTCACAAACCTATCCCCGAGACAGCCCAGTCGGACACAGCTCTCTCTCGCTCGCTCGCTTTACCGCCCGATTCAGCCACGTGTCTCTCGTCAGCTGGTAACTATCCATTCGCAGCCAGATTATCAATAGCCAGATACTGGTCAGAACTCGCTTGACATTCGGCTGAGTTTTGGCTCGACTAGACTATTGTTATTCGTCTGCGGGTGGGTTATTAGCGGCCCGGGAACACAGCATTGTTGAGGAGCCTGCCATACCAGCCAGTTTTTTTTAACGATTGTCTCGAGAACTGCGGAAAAAAGCACGCTTGGGTGTCCTTTTTAGGATACTCTAACAAGCCTTGCCAGACTCTGCAGGGACCGAGCAATCAATTGCCGCCCGACTTACCAGCCTCAGCCACACGAAACCATGGCCCGTGGTAAGAAGAATCCGGTCCCAGCGCCGGGACACCAGAGCAATCCTCAGCCAAAAAGGAGGAAGCACCTGTCGCCGCACCAGACTGACGATGCCAGAACCGGTCGACGACCCGGAGGAGACACCAGCCTCACACACACCCAGACGCCGCCAGCCCTGGATGTGGGCCCTATCGAGGCACCCGTCTTCCCAGAAGCCGCCCCAGTCGTGGCGCAGGAACCGAGCAACACCCGCCCACTCAGGCAGCAGCAGCAACGACCGGGAGCCTACACCACAGAAGTTTTGCAGTGCTCTCGCTGCAACAAGGCGTGGCACTCTGCCTCGTCATGCCGCAGCAGCCCATCGTGCCGGTACTGCTCCGGCCCTCACCTATTCAGGGAATGCCCTCTGGCAAAAAGTGGACCCTGACTTTAAAAAGCCGAACGCAAGCAGAAGATGTTCCAACTGCTCCGGTGCACACAGCGCCAGGTACATGGGTTGCCCGTACCTGAAAGAAGTCAAGAGAGCGATGGCGAATTCCACCACCAGGACCACACACAATCCAGAGCCGAAGCAAAGATATCAGGCGCCCAGTCCGACAGTTGCGAACAACAACGTCATTACGCAGCTGAGAGACGAAATCAAATCCCTGCGAGAAGAGAACGCACGAATCGTGGCACTCAGGACTCAGGACAGGGACGAGATGATAGACCTGCGAAAGCATCCTGCAGGCATCTCTCGAGACCCAAAGGAGAACTCGAGGAGGAAAATACAGAAATGGCGAAGTTCAAAACAGAATTGATGGCAAATCTAACCGACCTCAAGAAGTTAAAGGAAACAGACGCAGTAGCCGCCAAAGAAACTGAAAGACAACCAGAAAAGTATACTTTCCGAGATAGCCACCATCAAGAAAGACCTGACAAAAACAAAAGCAGAGGTAGCCGAGACAAACAATGAATGCGACAAACTCAGCTGTGTAATCGAAGCCACGCACAGAGTGATAGAAGCTAGAGAAAACGCGAAGAAAAGAAAAAGACAGAAAAAAGGCAGATCCACGACGCACACGTGAAACCCGGAGATCTAGAGAAGAAGTGCACACAAGACCTATACATCCTCAAGGAATGCCTGAAAGGCGACTTCGCAGCAATCAACAAAGGAGGTGAAGCAACTCAAAGAAGCCACCCGGCATCTTCAACTCGAAAGCATAAGAAACAACAAAACGAAGATAGCAGCCCACTCAAACGGAAACGACGCCCACGTGAAGTAGCAAGTTGAAAGCCAACATGCAGCAACCAATGAAAACCTCACAAGCCGCCATGACAGCTGAACAACCACGCCCCACCAGCCCTGAGAAACCTCACAGCCCACAACCAGATGACATATGTCCGCCGCCAGCCACGCCCACCCTACCTCACTCTGACAGAAGCAACTAACCTCAGGCAGAAATGTAAATCGCCACAACAGAAACGACTATAACTGGATAACAAAACTCCAGACAACAAAACACCGCTTCGATATAACCAAAGCTCAATCTAGGAGCCGGTTGAAAGAGGCAAGAAGTTTTTCGTTTTTTTTTAGCAACACCAGTACCAGTACAAACCTATATTACTGTTTACGTCCTTTTCAGGACTTAATTTTTTGTTTTTTGAAGCCCCACTCTGGCTTTTGCCAGGGGCCGCAATATAGGCAGGCCATAAAAATGGCCAAATGTCTGAACGCGGTTTCTGGGACCTCTCCACGGTGATCCTCATCCACATGGTGGCACGTTGTGTCATCGGGTGTTTATCGCTTGTGTGATGTCCTAGTAGGGTAGAAAGTCACTCACTCACTCACTCACAAACCAACCTTCATAATATTTAGATAATTTTTCTGATAAAGCAGCTCTAATAATATGGGTAGTTGATAGCGCTTTGGACGTCGGGTGACAATCCCCATGCATGTCCGGTCAAAGGTTTGAGGCGGGGGATAGCATAAAAGCCGCATATTTCCCAGATTACCGGTGTACGTGGCACCGAAGCTGAAGGGCCGCGACGCTAACGATACTAAACCAGAAAAGCTATACCCAGCTGCTTCTGGTTTAGGGAAAAAACAAAAATATGCAAGACTACAAACTAGATTTTTTAAAGTCCAATAATACATGTACCTACGAGCACTGGCTAGACATTTGCCTGCTGATTCGAAAGTCTTAAGTTCAAATCCTAAAGTGTTGCTTCTTCTTTTTTCTTTTTTTCTTCTTCTTCTTCTTCTTCTTCTTCTTCTTCTTCTTCTTCTTCTTCTTCTTCTTCTTCTTCTTCTTCTTCTTCTTCTTCTTCTTCTTCTTCTTCTTCTTCTTCTTCTTCTTCTTCTCCTTCTTCATCCTCCTCCGCCTCTCCTTCTTCTTTTTCTTCTTCTTTTCTTTTTCTTCATCTTCTTCTTCTTTTTCTTCTTTTTCTTCTTCTTCTTCTTCTTTCTTCTTCTTCTTCTTCTTCTTCTTCTTCTTCTTCTTCTTCTTCTTCTTCTTCTTCTTCTTCTTCTTCTTCTTCTTCTTCTTCTTCTTCTTCTTCTTCTTCTTCTTCTTCTTCTCTCTTCTTTCTTCGTTTCTTCTTTCTTCTTCTTCTTCCTCTTCTTCTTCTTCTTCTTCTTCTTCTTCTTCCTCTTCTTCTTCTTCTTCTTCTTCTTCTTCTTCTTCTTCTTCTTCTTCTTCTTCTTCTTCCTCTTCTTCTTTTGCATTCCGAGCCCTTGAGGTTCATTGCTGCAGACATCCTCCGCCTCCATTCATCTCTCTAGTTGTCCTTTTCTTTCCAGCTGGTGACACCATGTTATTGCAGGTCGGCCTGGTCATTATTTCTCCATCGTCTTCTTGGTCTGCCTAGTGGACTGCAACCATTCATCTCACATGTCTGTACTGTTCGTGACGTTCAATAGGTTTTTTAGGGGTTGGGCGGGGGGGGGGGGGGGGGAGGGGGGCGGGGAAAGGGGTGTGGGTTTCACAAATGATAGCTACAGTAACACGCGTACTGCACAAAGACGACCCCCTGAAGACTATTTATGAACAAATGCTGACGGAAGGCACGAGGTTAGATTCAATAACGTATGTAAGAGTGTGTGAACGTCAAATCCAGAGTGGATCCGGCAAGCAGGGAAGTATAAGAGGACGACACAACAACGTGTGTATACGGGAGCGGTTAGCATCTACTCCTTCAGGCATTTGCTGCGGGTATGCAGGTTTGCTATGATGTTGGCTGGTTCTCAAATAAGTGATCCCATTCCAATTGCAATTCCTTTTAAGAAAAAATCAAAAGCCTAACCACGTTCAACGTGCTGCTAGCTAGCCGAAGTTGTCAACAGTCTCTAGCTGTGTTAAGGGTCTTGTTTTTCTTTGCGCCATTTTCATGGCTAAAGTTCTGGTATTTTCGCTGTCTTTGCTTAATGCTTCTTTCCTCCAAATCAGCCTGCTCATTCCCTATCCTCTTGTCAACTGTGTTCTTCTTGCATTTTTATTTTTTGGATGTTTCCTCCCTGGTTTCAGCTCCTTCTGATTTGGCCAGGCGTAATTTTGTAGAGAGATAGAGCTTCTCTACATAACGTCCTCTGGGCCACTATTTTTAATTTTAAAATTTTGAGTCATCAGTAAATACTTGCTCTTGGATCGCATGTCGATCCAAACTAAAATCAATGTGTACTGAAAATTGTAAATAGGAATTAAAGCAGCAGTCAGATTAGATACTATAGATGACGACTTTCTTAGATTACGTGATTCTGGAGGCTTTGCAGTATATTGTGACGACTGCAAAGATCAACTGTAGAACTGCAGAAGAAGGTGAGGCAGATCGAGAAAGATGATGACCATTGAACCATGGCATTTTGCATCTTTCCTCGGTAGTTAAAAGAGATTCATAGTTATCAATGCACTTTATGAACAGAATTTCGCCAAACCTACCCCCGTACTTGTTCTTGAAGTTGTCCTTGAAGATATGGTAGGCCTTCACGTGAGAGCGAATTATGTTGTGGGCCACACGATAGACCCCATCAACAGGCTCGCTAATGCCTGGAGCGAAGGCCCCGACGCCGTAGCCTAGCCAGCTGATTACGTAGGCTTCGTTGAATGTGATCCAGGTCTTCACCTGCAGGGATGAAGATGGAGAAATTAAACTGAGTGTCATCTGCAGGTATACTACTAATTTTCCCTTTGTCGTTATTTGAAGCTCCACTCTGGCTCATGCCAGGGGCTGCAATATGGCCTAATGGCTGAACGCGGTTTTTGGGACCTCTCCACGGTGATCCTCATCCACATGGTGGCACATTGTGTCAGTCAGTCATCTGCAGGTACACAGAAGTTTCCATGATGTTGGGGCCCTAGATCTATAGGTTAAAATCTGTATGGAACCATATTTTCTTTAAAAAATTGTTGAACTGACTCCAGTTGGACGCATCCATAAATATGTACCAGATGAAGAAGTCCTTGGAAGTAAAGGCGGCCAGCGTGATGTTGACCACACCACACATCAAGTGCCGATTGTTCTATAAAAATAAGTCTAATATTTGCGACTGTGGCTTAGGCGTTGCGAACGCGCTTCGTAATGCCGGGTGCCGGGTTGAACCCCATCTGCAGGCCTTGCATTGTTTTCGATAGTGGTATTGAGAGCCGACTGTCCAGAGGCAATGGCAAACTATTGGACGTAACTTATGCCTAGAATAACCATAAAATAAAAAAAAAATAAAAAAAAATGCTGAAGTTGGTTCTGCAACGTCGTGTAAAGGATACGCAACTAATTTGTAATACTGTGTGCCCAGATACGCATGAAAGCGTGGGAAAGGGCCCATTACTCCCTGGGTACATTAGACGTGTTGGCATCTGTGGATTAGGCGTTGAGAAAGAACGCGGTGGTAATGCCGGGACTGCCAGGTTCGATCCAAGCTTCAGGCGCTTTGGCAGCAGAAAGTCTTGCGTTGGTTTTGACAGTGGTATCTAGAAGTGACTGTGAAGACAGTAATGGCAAACTACTGAACTTAAAATTTGTCTACAAAAATCACAGCAGCTAAAAAATGCTGTGGTTGGTTCTGCAGCTTCATGCAAAGGAAACGCAACTACCTAACAGAAGAAGAGGTGTCTGACTTCTGTGACGGACTGTTTACGACTGCGTTATGCACAGAGGGTAGTAGGTTTTTATTTGAAGTCTATACGTATGTTGTGTGTTGTTCGTCCATCACGGGTGATAAAGACCACTTTCATCCAAAGTATAATGTGGATGAAAGTGACTTGCTCAAAGACTTCAATTTAAGTGATGAAGAGTTGCGCAATTCGTCGACCTAACTCTCTCGCCTGTGTCCATCTTGATCCAATAGCAAGACAATATCGAGACGATTGGCAATGGACCTAGGTGCAGTGGATGACTAAGGCGTCTTAAGTGCCTTGCCTTGCTCGAAGCTCTCTACAGAGCTTTGCTGGTAATTCTTTTTGTCTGTTGAATGAATGAGAGGTTAGATCCGCACATCAAAGGCAACCAGCGTGGCGTTAACCACTTCACCACCAAGTGCCGACTTCTTCCTATTCTTTTCTCTACCCTGGAATGACTCGCGGCGTCAGGGGAGGAAGAGATCTGTAGAACTGGCCCTTCTGTTCGCTTCGTGTTGACTACTTTTCAGTCTTTCTGATATTTCTGCGGTCCATCATCTGCAGGGTCGACTGCTCTATAAAAATATGAGTCGAGCACACGCATTATGTTTTCAATTCACACAGGCAGTTATCATATCTCCCACATATTTACATTCCTATCCTGTCTCATAAACATATATATACACTGTCTCCCACACACACCATGTATTCTTCATACATACCATGACTCCCGTTCACATACCTTGTATCCTACACACACTTAACACACACACACACATACACACAGTCTCCCACACATATACTGTGTCTCTCACAACTATTCCTTGTCTCCCACACATACACCATGTCTCCTAAATACATGCTCTATCCTAACAACACATACGAGTTACTCCCCACACATACCCTGTCTCCAAACTGTTCGAAAACCAGTCTAGCGTACTCTCCAAACAGGTCTACGATCTCGTCGTTCTTCCAACCTCCCCTATCCTGGAGAGCTTGAGGTAGATCCCAGTGATACAGCGTCACCATAGGAGTAATGCTGTGGAAGATATCAGTGTTCCATTAAGATGTCCAGGACATATCTCATGATATATGTTGTAAGTTACTGAATAATATAAGTAGCCACACGCCGGACACCTCCATAAGGCTTCAGACTTCTTTGCAGATATTATGTGGAAAGGAGAATGAAAAAGAGAATAAGAAACACGTGGGAAAAAAACCCCCAAAGAAGCAGAAGAAGAAGCAGGTGAAGAAGAAGCAAAAGAATAGAAAAAGAGGAGGAGGAGGAAGAAGACGACGATGTTGAAGAGGATGAGGCGGAGGATAAGGAATGATAATAATACGAAAAATGATAAGAAGACAAAGAAAAAGAGGATGCTGACAAAGATGAGGGGAGGAGGAGAAGAAGAAGAAGAAGAAGAAGAAGAAGATGATGATAAAGAGGAGGAAAAGGAGGAGGGGAGGAGGAGGAAGAAGGAGAAGTAGAAACATAAAAAATAAGAAAAAGACGAATGAGGATGAGATGATGATGATGACGATGATGATGAGGGAAGGAGAAGGAGGAGGCGATTAAGGAAATGGCTAAGGACCAGGAGGGAAAACAGGAAAAGAAATTGAAAAATTAGGTATAAGACGTTAGCAACAGTTAATGGTTCGAATAAATCTGAAGAGCCAACCGTTAAATTTGCCTAGAAAAAACACAACAGCCAAACAAATGCTGGCGCTAGTTCTAAAACGTCCTGTAAAGTTGAATACCTGCAATGCCCGGCTCTCTAGCGTAGTTGGCTAAACCGGATTGCGCGGAGACCGGGTGACGAACTCCTTGCGGTCCGGGTTCAATCCCGGGTGTAGGCAGGAAAGCCACATTTTCTCCCAGATTTACGGTATTTACAATGGAATCAAGGCCGAAAGGTTGCGATATCCATAATACCGAGCCTAAGGGTTAGCGACTCATGGCTTCTGGATACTAAAACAAACAAACATTACCTGCAATTATAAAAGCAAACCTTACTTCTTAGCCAGCAGAGCATCAATGAGTCGGTTGTAGTAGGCAATTCCCGCTTGGTTGACTGAGCCTATTGTACCATCTGGTAGAACTCGGCTCCAAGCAATAGAGAATCGGTAAAAATCGACCTGCAAAGTAACATAAGAGAACCATGAGTAGGTTACAGTTAAAGACCAGAGTGTCGGTTTCATTGCATCGGGTTTTATCCCAACAAAGCTCGGTCTCTCTACGTCAAACGGCTAGCATCGCACTTAGCACAAATTCTGTGGCACCAGCAAGGATCCACAGAGGTATGGTTAAAAATTGCACCCGTCCTGAAACGAACTCATGATCTTCGGAGCGTGAATCAAATGCTTGGCCACTTTGGCACAGCGCTGGCTCTGAAGTCATTGCACCCACCCGACTAAGTTACTAGCTTAAATTGCAGATGGGAGGGAGGGGGTGGCCTAAATGGCATGTTGGCGGTGGGTAGGGCCCTTAACAAGCATGTCGTAAAAAGTGACAAATTAAAGTTTTGCTGAAAATGGATGTGTTAACCCGAAAAGGGCAGATCTCGCAGCCTTGCAGTCAACCACCTTTTTCAGGACTGGCAAAGAAAAAGAAGAAGAAGAAGAAGAAAAAGAAGAAGAAGAAGAAGAAGAAGAAGAAGAAGAAGAAGAAGAAGAAGAAGAAGAAGAAGAAGAAGAAGAAGAAGAAGAAGAAGAAGAAGAAGAAGAAGAAGAAGAAGAAACTGTCGACAGCTGAAATGAGAGGTCAGTCGGAGAGATCAAAGGAGGCAGGTGATATGTGCAGCTATATTTTGCAATGGCTCGCAGTGATGAAAAAGATAAAGAAGTCACAGTTCTAGATACAAATGACACAAAAGAATAACGGGCAAGAACATGGAAACGCACCATTAAATTTTTCCAAACACAAACACAAAATTGAAAACCGTAAACCGATTAGATAAATTAGGATGTTGGTACGAGACAAATATCTAAGATAGAAGAAGATTCCGTTTTTTGGTTACATTCTACCCGCATATGACGTCACAGGACATTTTAACATTTAGGAGGGTGGTAAGACTGGGTTTCCTGGCTTTCTGATGCATTTAACGACCCCAAAACATCTAGAACTGGCCCTAACCCCAACCCACCTACGTCCCACGAGAGAGTGTAGCCTAGGTACCACGACTGCATGCAGCCTAGGTCCCATGAATTCATGCAGTCTATGTACCATCCCCTGAAATATTAGACTGTCCCGTGACTTGTACATTTTTCTTGCTTGGGGTAGGATAGTAAGAAAGCACTGAAGATTCTGCTCCTGCTCTAGACCCCCCAGAGGAGCATAAGCCCTCAACTAACTCCCGCCAAGTCGTCCAATCTTTTGCTGTCGCATGCAGCTCATTCTGTTTCCTCACTAACGTTGTGACTTCCTTTCCCAGTTCCCTTTTTCGCTTGTTTCTTGGCTGCCCTTATTTATACTCTACTATGTGTTCTATTGTAAAGACATTCCATTCAAGTTTCTTTCCAACGCCAGCTTCTTGTCTTCACCACTTGATTCACTAGAATGTGTTTAGTTCTCTACTAACGATCCACCCTTTACCCTCTAACTCCCTCTGTTCTGCACAGTTAGTTAGTTGCGTATCCTTTACAGGACGTTGCAGGACCAACCCTAACAGCCCCTGGCTGTTGTGTGGTTTTTCTTGGCAAATTTACGTCCAGTAGTTTGCCATTGCTTACTGGACGGTCGGCTTTCTTGATACCACTGTCGCAACCAACGCAAGGCGCATTGCCCGCAACTGGGATCGAACCCGGCATCCCGGCATTTCGAAGCGAAGCGTTCTCATCGACTTAGCCACAGAGCCGACGTTCTGCACAGACACCAGTTAAATAAACGTGCATGATTTATCAGCATTACTGGTGTGACATTAAATCTATGGCTGGGGTGAAATGTACTATGAAATATCCGTGCAGGTTTCGGGACTCCATTTTGGAGAAACAAGAATATACCCACAGCGTGCACTACAAGCATTTCGTAAGAGTCGACTAACTGGGGAATTCCTTCGAAGTCGCAGTGCTTCTGGCTGAGAGGCAAGGAAGCAACAAACTGCATGTAAGTCAGATCTGTGTTTCCAGGTTTGCGCACAATACCCAGGTTCTGGAACAAAACTAAAGTCCAAAGGTGGGTAAACACAAAGAACTGCAGTCGATGAACGCGAAGAAGAAGAAGAAGAAGAAGAAAAAGAAGAAGAAGAAGAAGAAGAAGAAGAAGAAGAAGAAGAAGAAGAAGAAGAAGAAGAAGAAGAAGAAGAAGAAGAAGAAGAAGAAGAAGAAGAAGAAGAAGAAGAAGAAGAAGAAGAAGAAGAAGAAGAAGAAAAAGAAAAAGAAAGAAGAAGAAGAAGAAGAAGAAGAAGAAGAAGAAGAAGAAGAAGAAGAAGAAGAAGAAGAAGAAGAAGAAGAAGAAGAAGAAGAAGAAGAAGAAGAAGAAGCAGCAGCAGAAGAAGAAGAAGAAGAAGAAGAAGAAGAAGAAGAAGAAGAAGAAGAAGAAGAAGAAGAAGAAGAAGAAGAAGAAGAAGAAGAAGAAGAAGAAGAAGAAGAAGAAGAAGAACAAGAACAAGAACAAGAACAAGAACAAGAAGAAGAAGAAGAAGAAGAAGAAGAAGAAGAAGAAGAAGAAGAAGAAGAAGAAGAAGAAGAAGAAGAAGAACAAAAAGAAGAAGAAATGCAGTAATGATACTCACCCCTAACTCCTGGAGCATCTCGACGTCCCTCTGGAAGAGGTGGTAGCTGTCACAAGCCACGTCCCCGGTCTCGTTATGGGCTATTCTGTTGGTGTGAGCGAACGTGTCCCAAATGCTGGGGCCCTTTCCTGGATCACAGAAAAGTGTCTGTCAGCAGCGCCGACTCCTTTAAAAAGTAAAGCGGGGAGGGGGTGATGTGCTAAGCCCCCCCCCCCCCGCAACTAAAAATGGATCTAGACGCTTAATCCCAGTTAAAGAGCATAGCAATAATAATAGAATTAGGACAATGATCATAACATTAATAAGTACTATTCTAAATGAGAAGGAGAAAACTGGAGTACATCAGGACAGCAGGAATGTTGGAGGGGAGTAGAGGCAGAGGGAGACCAAGAGAAAAGATGCTTGACAGTTTGACTGATTAAAAAGTACACGAGATAGAAGGTAGCGGATAGACATGACTACCAACGCCACACTGCATGCATATCAAAATATGATGCTGAATGACAAATATATATATATATAAAAAATATGCAATGTATACATAAATACATTTTAAGAGCATTTCTATGCCTGAAGAAATGATGCAGATTAGTCCCTTGTATAAAATATTTTAGTAGGCGGGGAGCTCGAAAGGCCTGAGCTCGCAGATTCTGGCGCCAGTGTGGTTTGTAATACAGACACGTATTCTTTAAGGCAACTTATTGGTCTTACTATAATTATTATTAATTATAATAATGACGATGATCATCATCATCCTTATCACCGTCGACGCCGTTCACAAGCTGCTGTAAACTTCGGTGGGAAGTTCTAGATGTTTGTCCACTTCTAGACTTCAGTACTCTTCCAGGCTTTGAATTTTGCATGCAAATCCGTTTTACTGATCTGACTTATTATGCAGACTGTTGGTGCCATGCCTTTCAGGTAGATGAACGCTGAGTTGGAAGGAAACACCTATAGATAAGATAGTCATTTACGACATCATTGTTAGGGTGGCAGTGCGTCTTTTCTGTCTCCTTCTTCCCCTCTCTCGCCCCAAAATAAAGTCCAGAAACACGCAGGGTGCAGTTTATTGGTTGATAGCAGAGGTATGGCTCCAGTCGTTGCTGACTTTGCTGTGAATCCTTCGGCTGCAGGAATATGTCTACCTCTTGCTCTATTTTATTTTTTGTTCTTTATGCTATTCACAGTGGTTCAGATATGCTTTTCATACTTTCTACAATTATTTCCTTCATTGCTATTAAGTTTTATTTATTTATACAATATCCAGAGAAGCGGCTGGCCGAACGGTTAGAACGCGTGGCTCTCATGCAGGAGACCCGGGTCGAATTCTCGGTAAGGTTGGGGTTTCGTTTCTGTCAGTGGCAAAATAGAATCCTCACCTGCACAGTCGTGGCGACAGCACTAGCTATGAGGCCGTAAATCCTCAGACTCAAAGACCTCCCTTCCTGACTGACTGACTGACTTTTTACCCCATCAGGACATTACACAAGCGATAAACACCCGATGACACAATGTGCCACCATGTGGATGAGGATCACCGTGGAGAGGTCCCAGAAACCGTGTTCAGCCTTTAGGTCATATTTATGGCCAGGCTATATTGCAGCGCTTGGCACAAGCCAGAGTAGGGCTTCAAAACACGAAAAATTTCATCCTAAACAGGACGAGAAGTAATAATTACCTCCCTGCCTACACCACAAAAGTGGTGAAATAAAGGCAGTAATTGGCCGTTTTTTTGAGACAATATCTGAATACCCAAATGTAGTCGTTTCTGTCAGTTCATTGTTTATGTGTGTTGCTTTGTGTTTGTATGTGTGTTTTAATTTAGTTATTGTTCTACTGATGAAGGTTAATCGCCGCAATGTCCTCTGTGTGTTTATCGCAAGTGGTTATGTAAAGTTGAAATATACTTCGGTTTTTCTAACTCTTGAGCACGTCCTGTCCGCGTGCAGGAGAGCCCTAGGTCAAGGCCGATACACATGGCGACACAACAAGGTGCTAAAAGAGTTAGCAGCCGTTGTCGACCAGGCTAGAATGAGGGCTAACGCCAGAGCCAGTTCTAGCATCGTCCCCATTCGTTTCCTCAAGGCTGGGCAGGTTCCAAAGGGTAAGGTCAACCAAAACGCATTCGCTCCATCTGTGCTAGACTCTGCGAGGGACTGGTTACTGGCGGTTGATCTGCCAGGCCATGAACGGTACCGCGAGTTGATCCGTAAAACCGGCCTGCGACCGGACATCGTTCTCCATTCTGTGCAAAAACGGCAGCTCATCCTGATTGAGTTGACTGTCCCGTTTGAGTCACGTATGGAGGAGAATCATTTGTACAAGCTCGAGAAGTACAGTGATTTAGCAGCCGGTTCGAGGAGAAACGAGGCTTACACAGTACGGGTATTTGCCGTCGAAGTGGGAGCGAGAGGCCTCGTTTCCACTTCGCTCTACAATGTGGTGAAAGAACTAGGATTGCGCGGTAATGAACGGAAACGAACACTAAAAAAACTGGGAGAGGCAGCCGAAAAGGCCTCTAGCTGGCTTTGGACGCAGCGCAACAACGTAGGGGACGGGCCTCGGTGAGCTGGTCCGGGTATCTAGTGGAAAAGAGTTACTCATCCCTTTGAAAGTCCATCGTGTCCGAATTGTCTGCCAGTGTTCCTCTGCCAACTGCTAATAAAAGTCCAACATGTGTCCGGTAAACCAAAGTAAGCTTGTCGCTCGGTCGTCCAGGCATGCTGACTGCTTTAATTAGGCTGCCGTGGCGGCTTCTTATCTCACAGTACCTCCTTCGAAACCACCAAGTCGTCTTGTCTCTGGCCGAAAGTCTAACACCATCCGGTAATTCCGTGCAGCAGGGAACCAGCCCTGAGCTTCATGAACTCAGGAGGGCCCACCTCCGAATGCGTCTAGGAATCGTGAGCCGAAACGCGTGTCGACGAGGATAATTTCTACTGACGACTGATAGATCCCTGCTGTACTTGCTCCCTGTGAGTTTATTCCTATTGTACGTGGCTAGCCCACAAGACTACCAGGAAAGACTGGTGACTATCGGGAAAGACCTTTTGACACCTACGGAAAGACTGGCCCTCCGGTATCCCCGGGGGGATAAACTGACATCTGGAGACAGATGTCGACTGTGGACCGGGTTGATCACCCCTAACACAGTAAAATACCTTCGATTTTTTAACAACCACAAAGAAATATGCCCCCAGGGCCCTCCGAAAAGGGGGGGGGGGAGGATGAAGGGCCCAATCCAACTGATACCTTCGGTGACGACCTTGCTAGCCCCCGGACTGAGATACTCGCCCAACGTCCGGGCTGGCTCTGTACATGTGGGAAAAGCTTCACGGGGTTGCATGGTCTGAGAACGCATGCCGGAAGAATGAAATGCGAGGGTGCTCCACGCAGTAAACGCCGTCGCAAAACTACTACTCCTGTGGTAGTTTCTGAGTCCTCAGGGTACGACGGGCAGGGTGAACTCCACTCGCCCGGAGAGGCCCATGACGTCGACTGCGGAGGAGCACCTTTGATGATTTCTGAAGAAGAGCGTTCCAGAATCAGGTTTCCACCTGCGAGCGAGAAGGTGGTGTGGTGTAAGTTGGAGGCTACATTATGTGAGATACTTAAACAAACTCTAAACAAGAAGCCGCTAGGCGACAAGCTTACTAAATTTGGTGATGTAATATATGAACACTGCTCCCGAGAGTTCGGGACAGTAGTAAAGGCACAGCCGGGTGCCAAGCAGAATACTAGCAGGAGGCAGAGGGACATTCTGAAGTGTCGGGCAGACAAGAATGCCCTCAGAAAACGGTTCAAAGCCGCTACAGGCAGCGAACGGGAGGGGCTGTACGAAGTTTGGTTGCATTTAAAGAACAAACACAGTGCCCTCTGTCGCGCCGAGCGTTTCTGTAACAACAGACGCAGAACCTAAAGGGAGCGAGAGTAATTCTTTAGGGACCCGTATCAGTTTGCCCGAGGTCTATTCGAGCAACCGAAGTCTAGGACTCTGGTTGTCAGTCAGGAAGAACTAGAGCTACATCTACACAAGATGTACTCTGACAAAAAGAGGAGAGAGCTTCTCGATGACAATCCAGAGATCCTTAGCGGTCTTAAACAGCCTTCGGTGCCGAAGGTACCATTTAAAATGGTACCTCCCCTTTGGTCTGAGGTTGAGGACGTTGTGAAAAAGGCCAGCGGCAAGTCTGCCCCAGGTCCGAACGGTGTCCCGTACGTTCTTTAGAAGCGTTGCCCGAAAATCCTTAAAATGCTTCACGTCTTGTTGAGACAAGCGTGGATCCGCAATCACATATGTCCAGAGTGGTCAAAGGCAAATGGGGTCTACATTCCCAAAGAGCAGGACTCGAAGAGTCTTTCCCGATTCAGGCCCATCTCGCTGTTGAATGTCGAGGGTAAGATATTCTTCTCAGTCATGGCTCGCCGGCTCACACAGTATCTGATGACTAACAAGTACATAGATACCCGTGTTCAGAAGGGTGGTATTCCAGGCGTTCCTGGGTGCCTTGAATACGCGACCATGATTTGGGAGGCTATCCAGAGAGCCAAGCATGAGAGAACTGATTTGCACGTTATATGGTTGGACTTAGCCAACGCCTACGGGGCAGTCCCCCATAGGCTACTGTGGCGAGCCCTTCGCATGTTTCACGTACCGACACAGATCAGTCAAATAATCGAGCAATATTTCTCCAAGTTCGCTTTGCGCTTCTCTACCTCGACGTTTACCACGAGGTGGACTGAGTTGCAGATTGGGATAGCTATGGGCTGTACGATCTCACCTATACTGTTTGTCATGGCAATGCAGATCATGTTAGACGGGGCGGCCGGCTACGGACTGGGCCTTCAAATAGGGGATCACTGGTTGCCGCCACTACGCGCATTTATGGATGACACGACTATAATAACGGGCAGCGAGGAGTCTGCCCGCACGATCCTGAAAAGATTGGACGCGGTGGTCCAATGGAGCGGTATGCAGTTCAAACCGCAGAAATCGAGGAGTCTGTCAATCCATAAGGGCAAGGTGTCGGCAATCAGTTTTACGGTGGCAAGGAACAAGATCCCCACGGTTCTGGAGGAACCGGCGAAGAGCCTCGGTCGCGTTTACGATTCGAAGTTATCTGATAGAGCGGAGGTCCGGCGAATACACGAGTCACTGGCTACAGGCCTGCTCGCGATCGAGCGATGCAGGCGGATCGGAAAATTCAAGGTATGGTGTCTCCAATTCATGTTGATTCCAAAGCTCCTATGGCCACTGTTAGTCTACGAGGTGACGATGACTGCAGTGGAAGCCATGGAAAAGAAAATCAACACAGCCTTAAGAAAGTGGATTGGTGCACCGCCTTGTCTGACCGACGTGGCTCTGTATTGCAAACAGGCTAAGCTGGTACTTCCGTTCAAGTCAATAACCGAAGAGTTTAAAGTCGGCAAGGTAAGGCTCGCCATGCTTTTGCGCGAGTCTTCAGACCCAAATGTCACCGCTGTCCAGCCCGCTCTAAAGACTGGAACCAAGTAGAGAGTCCTCGATGCGATAGAATCTGCCCAGAATGCACTAAAATTGAGAGAGATAATGGGTTACACACAAACCGACCGTCGAGGCCTAGGGCACGGGAAGGTCAATTGGTGGTCAAAGGCCTCAGCCAAAGAGCGCCGAGACATGGTAATACAAACGGTGAGGGACAACGAAAACGAGGTTCGGGTCCAGAAAGCAGCCCAGCAGTCGCAGCAGGGCCATTGGGTCAGCCTGGAGAGCGCATTGCCAAGAATACTCACATGGGGTGAGATCTGGCGGATGACCCCGCTGCGACTTAGCTTTATCGTTCGTTCGGCGTACGATGTATTACCGTCCGGTGTTAACATGGTTAAATGGTCTGCGACCAACGATCCGACTTGCCCGTTGTGCAAATCAAAGCAAACTCTTGAGCACGTCCTGTCCGCGTGCAGGAGAGCCCTAGGTCAAGGCCGATACACATGGCGACACAACAAGGTGCTAAAAGAGTTAGCAGCCGTTGTCGACCAGGCTAGAATGAGGGCTAACGCCAGAGCCAGTTCTAGCATCGTCCCCATTCGTTTCCTCAAGGCTGGGCAGGTTCCAAAGGGTAAGGTCAACCAAAACGCATTCGCTCCATCTGTGCTAGACTCTGCGAGGGACTGGTTACTGGCGGTTGATCTGCCAGGCCATGAACGGTATCCCGAGTTGATCCGTAAAACCGGCCTGCGACCGGACATCGTTCTCCATTCTGCGCAAAAACGGCAGCTCATCCTGATTGAGTTGACTGTCCCGTTTGAGTCACGTATGGAGGAGAATCCTTTGTACAAGCTCGAAAAGTACAGTGATTTAGCAGCCGGTTTGAGGAGAAACGAGGCTTACACAGTACGGGTATATGCCGTCGAAGTGGGAGCGAGAGGCCTCGTTTCCACTTCGCTCTACAATGTGGTGAAAGAACTAGGATTGCGCGGTAATGAACGGAAACGAACACTCAAAAAACTGGGAGAGGCAGCCGAAAGGGCCTCTAGCTGGCTTTGGACGCAGCGCAACAACGTAGGGGACGGGCCTCGGTGAGCTGGTCCGGGTATCTAGTGGAAAAGAGTTTCTCATCCCTTTGAAAGTCCATCGTGTCCGAATTGTCTGCCAGTGTTCCTCTGCCAACTGCTAATAAAAGTCCAACATGTGTCCGGTAAACCAAAGTAAGCTTGTCGCTCGGTCGTCAAGGCATGCTGACTGCTTTAATTAGGCTGCCGTGGCGGCTTCTTATCTCACAGTACCTCCTTCGAAACCACCAAGTCGTCTTGTCTCTGGCCGAAAGTCTAACACCATCCGGTAATTCCGTGCAGCAGGGAACCAGCTCTGAGCTTCATGAACTCAGGAGGGCCCACCTCCGAATGCGTCTAGGAATCGTGGGCCGAAACGCGTGTCGACATGGATAATTTCTACTGACGACTGGTAGATCCCTGCTGTACTTGCTCCCTGTGAGTTTATTCCTACAATTTTCTATCTTTCCTTTCTCTTGTCTTTTTTATTTTTTAATTTTTTAGACCTTTTTATACACACTTCGTGCTATGAATCTTGCTGCTAGCATCGTATGATTCAATCTTGTCTGGTGGCTGAATCATTTCAGTTTTGTTTCTCAAAGAATTTAACAATCGGTTTTGTTACATAGGTCTTCTAATCTCTTCATTTCTCAGTTTCTCAAACGTCCCATTACCCACTGGGTTAGTTTTGTGGTTGCGTTCAAGCTGCAAGATTTGCTGCTGCTGTTGTTGTTTCGTTCATTAGCTATAAACTCTGGTGGAAAGAACTGGTTGTTTGTGCACTTTTAGACTTTAGCTTTGTTCCAGGACCTGAGTTTTGCGTGTGAATCTGTTTTATAGATCTGACTTATTTGTATGCAAATTTTTGTTTCCCTGCCTCTCAGGCAGATGCACTACGACTTTAAAAGAAGCTCCCAATTAGTCGACTCATACGACATGCTCGTTGGGGAGGCAGTGGGTCTATTCTTGTTTCCCCCAGAATTAGACCCGGAACCCACACGGGGGATTTTGCTGTGATTCTTGAACATATTCGCTTTATCAACAGAGTTCATTCTCTGTACGATGTTCCCTGAAGGCGGTTAGCCGTTCTTCAGAGAGAGACCAGGAAATTTGGGATAACTCAGAGTAATAAATTCGATCCTCTGGATTTTACCATTCGTATTCTTTAGTTACAATCCAACTGCTAGAGGACGGAGTAGCTTCAGCACATTATTATTATTATATGCTTAAACAAAGTTTATACCTCATGTAGCAGGTAGAGGGAGTTAATTTACTGAGGTATATTTACATTAATTACATACCATCTTCATTCCAGGCTCCTTCAACTTGATACGCCGCAGTTGCAACTCCCCATATGAAATAGTGAGGAAAATACCCGTAGTAAAACTCATCGCGATCTTCAGGAACTGAAAAAGTCATGAAGAACCACCCATTTAGGGCCCTTTTGTAGGCGGTACGTAATAAGTAACAGTCATACTCAAGACACAGGACGCACTGTGATGAAGATGGACACACAAAACAGGACCAGAAGAGAGAAACCAGACATGTTCAGAAATGACAGTTAGTGACAATAAGCAACATCAACTGGCTACAAACTGTTTAAATCATCGACATTGGTGCAAATAAAACCAAAAACCAGACGCTAATTGCAACCGAAGCTGTTTTTAGCACGGCTGAATGTGGTGAAATGCGTTTCCCCATCTAATAGGTGGTGGTCCGTAATGGTACGTTGTAAAAGAACCTTTTTTAGGCATCATTCTATCAGTGTTACTGTAATACAACTTTTACAGAAGTCTCGGCACCTTTTTAGACGCTTTCTATTGAGTGTCGGCATCCTTTTTTTAGACACCTTTTAGTGAGAACCGGCATTTTTTTTAGACACCTTTTAGTGAGAACCGTCATCTTTTTACAAACGTTCTATAGAGCACCGTTTCCTTTTTAGACACTTTCTATTGAGTACCGGCAACTGTTTTAGAAACTTTCTATTGAGCACCGTTTCCTTTTCAGATACTTTCTAGTGAGTACCCGCACCTTTTTAGACACTTTTTGTGGAGTACCCGCACCTTTTTTAGACACTTTCCAGTAAGCACTTTTTAGACACTTTTTAGTGAGTAACCGTACCTTTTAAAACACTTTCTAGTGAGTACCCACACCTTTTAAGACACTTTCTAGTCAGTACCTGCACCTTTTTATACACTTTTTTGCGAGTAAAAGCACCTTTTCAGACACTTTCTAGTGAGTACCCACACTTTTTAGACATTTTATAGTGAGTACCAGAAACTTTTATCTCCTATATTAAAAAGGAACCCCAGATTGCCCATAGTTTTATTGGTTTACAGACGCAAGGTAGATGTGTCTGTCTGTCTGTATGTTAATAATTCATAGAGTTGTTAGTAGGGAAGATGATAGAGACAATTCTGAGGGGGATAATAGTATCGAATGTCACCTGTGTGTCACTAGGGTCTAGAACAGAAGCAAGAAAAAGAGACTGTAATCTTCCGTAGGTATCATGACAGGCAACTAAGAAAGGTTGGCCCAAGGCTTGTAGTTGTCTCTTGCTCCTGTGTTGGTTCTGTTGTATAGCATCCAATGTCCGTAGAATGAATGAATGAATGAACGAATGAAAGAATAAATCAAGAATTGACATCCCTGCAATCGGGATACTCCCACACGTGCTCAGTCTCCTTCTTCAGTAGCCAATGAAGAGTCGATATGCCAATAGTATTTGTTGCAACCTGATAGAAGTCGGCATATATTTACCCCTCATTGGTGCAAATCTTAAAGACCCTGTACTTACTCCTCTCTGAATAATTCTGTCAATGCACGGATACTTGATCTGATCTGTTGCACTGTCTACTTGATCTCAGAGAGCCGTCCCGACTTCCGCTTTAACACAACTAGCTCACCACTCAGGGAATGAATGAATGAATGAATGAACGAATGAAAGAATGAAACAAGAATTGTCGGGATACTCCCACAGGTGCTCAGTCTCCTTCTTCAGTAGCCAATGAAGAGTCGATATGCCAATAGTACCTGTTGCAACCTGATAAAAGTCCGCCTTTATTTTCCCTTTAGTGGTGCAAATCTTCTAGATCCTGTACTTACTCCTCTCTGAATAATTCTGTCAATGTACGGATACTTGATTTGATCTGTTGCACTGTCTACTTGATCCCAGAGAGCCGTCCCGACTTCCGTTTTATCATAACGTTGCTTACCACTCAGGAAAGCGGCAGCGGCCAATCTATCAGCTTGCTCATTACTCTGCACACCAAAATATCCTGGACAGACAATCCACTATATGCTCTTGATCAGAGTCCCATCAAGCAAAGTAAGCCACTCTATGCGTAAAGCTATCCATAGAAAGGGAATAGACTATCCAGAGAGTCTGTGTGACTTAAACCCATGAACATTTCCCTGAAAAAGAAGCTGTCAGTTCCCGTTCCATCCTGGCAACCATCCATTGAACGGTCCAAACCTTAGACTAAATACCTGATACACAACCATCTACCTAGATGCTTACATCATACCTACACAACACCCAAACTGTCTGTCTCTATTTATGTATTTTGTTTCCTGTCTGCTTAAAAAAAAATACCTTCCTATGTGTTTGACAAACATCTTAATGTAGTAGAAGCCGGCCTCGACATCTTCTACTCATCTGTAATTCACCATAGAGAATGTCCTTAATGACTCCACCATCCTCAATTCTCCAGGTGTGACTTAGATTCATCAGAGACTGTACATTAGTAGATTGTTGTAATACCTGCTCTTTCCAGTATCTCTTGTGTCTGATCTATTTCAATTTTAATTGAATCTCTTGGCTACTTATTTGCATATATGTCTGTCCGTCCACCTGCCTGCTGTCTGTCTGACTCTAATCTCCAGAAAGATTCGATGCTGGGCAAGAATAAAACCCTCACCTGTACAGTCATGGCGACAGCACTAGCCATGCGGCCGTAAATCCTCGAGCTCAAAGACCCCCTGCCTACACCGCAAAAGTATTGTAATAAAGGCGGTAATTTCCATTTTTTGGGGGGTATTTACAACGGATCAACATCATAGCGCAAGAGTAGTAACCCATAGGTGCTCTGTTATACTTCCAATTCAAGCACTCAATCTCATTGCACTGCACGAACTCCGTAGCACCGTTGAAGATCCTAAAATACTTTAGGTAGATTTTTAACCCCACATTTTGCTCGGACGGACAGCGCCAAGAGATTTTGTTACGTGCACAACAATACACACGAGCGCCCGATCTTACTGCCCAGAGAGCGGGAGAAATTACCAGAAGAGTCTACGTGAAAAAATCCCAGCCTACTTCGGGGCCTGAACCCAGGACCTCCAGCACTCGAGTCGGACGCCTTGCCTTGAGATCCTCAGCCCTGTGTGTAACAATGTAAGCATTACTAAATACTGCATTAACTATCCTTACATGCTCTGTAGTTTTTGATGACATTGTCGAAACCCCTTTTGGCGATGAGCTGCTTGTAAAACTTGACCGAAGATCGCGGATAACGAGGCCTTCCCGGGGTACCAAAATCCACATAGTACAGCCCTGTCTTGCTGGTGTATCCTTTGTTCCAGTCGAATCCATCAACCAATGAGGATACGAAATAGCCTCTAACATTACTTCCGTTGTTGATCTCTAAGGGGAAACAATGCAATTAACATTTATTTATTGGCATTCACACAGAAAGGTGGCAAGTACAACTTGTTTATCCTTTTAGTAACATTATACTCTTATAACATCGTGAGTCGCCGTGGCCGAGCGGCTAGACGCTCGTCGCGAATCGGAAGGTCGTGGGTTCGCTCCCTGGCGGAGCCTGACTTTTTTCAAAAAATGCCTTGGCTCCCAGGTCGACCGAGCCTTGAGTGAGTACCGGGTGCAGTCCCGGGGAAGTAAAGGCGGGCGGCGTGATGCTGACCACATCCCCCATCTTGTGCCGATTGGTCTATAAAAAATATAGGTCTAGCCCTATACGCCTGATGGCGTGGAAAAGGGTCCTTTACTTTACTTTACATATAACATCAGTAGTTAGTTGCGTATCCTTTACAGGACGTTGCATAACCAACCCTAGAATTTTTTGGCTGTTGTGGTTTTTCTAAGCAAGTTCACGTCCAGTAGCTTGCCATATAACATCAATACTGTAGGGACAATTAGAAAGCGAGAGAGCAAGGGGCAGACAGCGATATAAGTGGGAGAATAACATTACGAAACGGACAAATAGCAGCTTGGAAAATGTCGTTTTTTGTTGGTACGTTTGTATCTTTCAAGACGAGTGTTATATTGTGCTATGAGGAGACATGAGACTAACAGCCAATGGCGATGGCGAGTGGAGAGCTGCCCCTCTCCATAGCACAAAGCCTGGTTCAGCATTGTAAAGACTATATGTTGCCCATGAATGATGATCCAGTTTCGGCCTGCCTTGTTTACTTCAGAGGAAAAGTAACACTAGTACGTTTGGAACAAAACACGTTGCAGAAGCTACCGGGTGAGAAGTACAGTGCTCTATCTGCCCCCCTATTTAAGCTTCCCTTCTAGACCAGCTGTCAGCCAAAGCTAAGTGCCTGGTCTGCTCTGATATAACATTAGATTTTCAGGTTGCATTTCCTCTTCCTAGGATGAATCAGGTAACCTCACCAATGCGCTCCTCTGCCTGAAGCCTTTGGCATATTTCAGGATATCAGATTTTGTATAATCTAGCCAAAATTTGGCGTTAACAGAAGGCAGAAAATACCGGCTACTGTTATACGGTAACTCAGTCAAATCTGACCTAAACTCCAACCAGAGAAGATTTAGCCAGGGCGAAGACAAAGCGTGCTGGAGATTCACTGCAGCCAATCTTCAACAGAAAGACGGCACCAGCTTGATAAATAACAGTTATTCAAAAATGTACAAGACAATAATTTGAAAAAGATTAAATGATATAATTACACTGGACAACAACATTTGATGAAAGCTACGGAACAATTATGAAAAATAGCCATTTCTAACAGGTTCAAAGAAGCAGATCACGAATATGACATTAAAAAACAAAATTGGCTGAAAGTCCCTGACAAATCTGAACCAAAAAATATTTCCATATAATAGAGGTATACGCTTTATATTATACTTACGTTCATTTGTTTTTTCTCCTATAAATTTGTCACAAATAAGCAAACAATGTTATTTGATTGTTTAAAAAAATATATAATGTGTCGTGTTCTTCTTTAATTTTCTTGAAAGTCACTGAGCAAGTATCGAATATGAAGTATAGAGCCCTATGATGAATGAAGAATATGTACCAGTAAGAGACCGCTTTTGCTTCCTAAGTCGCTTTGCCCGACGTCTGTATAACTAACTATTCACGATGATCTCTGATGAGTGAGTGTCAAACAATAAATATAGTTGCCACTATTTACTTTCACCATGTGAAACTAGCTGGAGAGCAAATTCAAAATTTCGGTTACGATGTAATCTTGTTTCTTTTATTTGTGTGTGTGTTGGCACATGCATCTCTCCCATGCGTGCTTTCTAAGTTATTTCATGAGCACGCGTAGCCAGATAGAGACAGGATGGATTCGATAGAAAATTATTGGTGTCGCTAAGGAAATCTCGTCTGATTTTTATTTTGATACCAGGATACTCTGAGGTAGGAAGAGATGAACGAGCGGACTGGTTTGCTGGCAGGGCAACCGTAGATAGGTAAAAAAAGAATTGGACCGAGCCGACATTCTCAATGCTCTCAAGGAAGCAGGACGAGAAGATGAGTCAAGAGACCACACTGAATCGGCAACCCTTAAAAGACTACAAAAAACGTCAGGTTAAAAGAGTTGTCGACAAACATGAACACTATACAGGTTATCAAAGAAGAATACCAAACCAACACGTAACTGGTGTTATCAGTCACCACACGCTGTGATACACCGAAGATGGGATTCGAGCGCTTATGGACAATGAGGACAATTTGTCGACTAACTAAATAACTTATAGGTGGAACCACACTGATAGATATAAGTCATTTATGTGATTGCTGTACTCTCTCCGGGTTATAAGAACTACAAATGACCTCGATACAGTTTTCCCTTTCATTCACTGTAGGTTTTCTTACACAGGTACTGCGGCATATGTAAGAGACATTATCCCAGTCCCTAGCCTTGCAACCGAAATAACAGTCGCATGTCTTTGTCAACGTTTACGTGATGGTTGTTTTGTTTTGTTTGCGTGCAAATGTCCCTTCCTCGTAAAAATATAACCCCCTAAAAAATTATCAGCACTGTTAACACACTTTCCAGGCATCCCAATTGCAGGATGATTTGAGCTGCAGGGGTGAAATTACTTGTTCACACTTCGAGAATTGGCTTTTTATAATAATTGCTTCATTTGTGAGTAACAATACTTTCCTTATATATTTTGTGTGTTTGTTTATTTGCTGCAATACACTCAACACGCTGCATTCTGCAGATACAAAAACACGCCATTTCGAAATGCTAACATTCGTACTATATGCAGGCTAAATAATTTATACTCTACCATCCATATATCTCTTAAGAGCAAATCGATAAACTGTAATTAAACGTCCACGCTACAGTCCGTTCCAAAAGTCAAGGGCAACTAGAAAACAATCTTTAGCCCAGTAACTGTTTGGTGTAAAGTGTTGTAATTTAGCGTGCAACTTGTTAATAACAACGTCTTTGTAACACATTTATTAAAAATTGCAAACAAACATCTACTTTCCATTTCGCCTGGTTTGCGGTATATGAAAAAATAGACACCAATCTGATGGGTTATCTACACACATAAAAAGTGACTACTTACCTTGCAGGACATAATTGCTGTACTGTTTAATATAGTCAATCCTGTTTTGATCTTTCAATGTCCCACAGGTGGACAGGCCACTCTCAGTCACATAAATAGCCGGTTTGTTGTATTTTGTAGTCAAATACGCCAGGAGATCTCTTAGACCAAAGCCCATTAGTCGCTTGTCACTGTCCGGGTTGAGTTCCGGTCGATACTCCAGTCTTAAAACAAATTATTGACATAAGTTAGTCGTTTATCATCATCAGTTCTGGTTATGCCTAGTGGCACATGAGGCTTCAGCGAGGACTTTCCATGCTTTCCTGTCCTGCGCAATCTTCAGTGCAGTTTTCCATGTCAAAGATGCCGCACTCAGGTCACTTTCCATCGTTCGTCTCCATGTTGTTTTTGGGCGCCCCTGTTTTCTCTTTCCCTCTGGTGTCCATGTGAGAGCTGTTTTGGCAGGTAAATCAGGATTCATTCTCATAACGTGGCCAAGCCATTTCCATCTTCTCTTGGTTAGTCGTTAGTTAAGATTTAAACTTCACTTCGCCCGTCTCTCTAGCGTAGTTGGCTAAACCGGATTGAACGGTGAGCGGGTGACGAACTCCTTGTGGTCCGGGTTTACTCCCGGGGGTGGGCAGAAAAGCCACATTTCTCCCAGATTTACGGATTTTACAATGGAATCAAGGCCGAAAGGTTGCGATATCCATAATACCGAGCTTAAGGGTTAACAACTCATGGCTTCTGGATACTAAAACAAACAACAAACAAACAAACAAACTTCTGACAGGTTATCCCCGTAACTGCTCTTTCACGTGGCTGTGGAACATTAGAATTGAAAATACGTAACTTGGTTTCAAAACTAGACAGAGTTCCATATTTTGTTCAGGCTTTTATTGCAAGCTGCTAATGCATTGTCAATGTGTGTTTGATTATATACAACAAGCAAATTCCTAGTCTGTTTAAATCACTACTAATAAATGATATTATAAGGGCCTTGCCTTACAGGCTGCAATTGTTAGGGCATAAAGACAGAATGGCAGATAACCGAGAGACAGAAGCAGCAAACAAGAGAGCCCAAGACAGGTTGACCATAAGGCAGACCAAGAAAACGATGAGGAGAACATTTACAATGCAGATCAACAAACATTTATAGTCATCAACCAGAAAGACAAGACCAGTCACAGAGATCAATGGAAGAGGGTGACTTTTGCACCAACGAACCTTAAGGGTTTGGTGTTGAACAACATGAAGAAGTGGATGATTATAAACGTACTTGGGATATGACCTGTCTGCTTCAAACAGGACATCCTGATCATTCAAGAATCCCCTTTCTGAATTTGGTTTCTCCGATGCCAGCTTTGTCTTGAAATGGCCAATTGCAAGGAAATCGAGAGCACCTTGATGAAAAAGCAACAGAAAAAGAAAACGAAAAATTACAATTCATCTTCTCGTCTGATGTGATATCACCTCACCCAATCAGAACTTTTACCAAGCTTTTTAAAAAATAATATCTCAGTTTATCCTCTCTCATCCCATCCCAGCTAATCTCATCTTTTCCCATCTCAGCTTATCTCAACCCATTTTAACCTAGCTTTTCTTAACTCATCTCATTCTATTCTAACTCCTGAGTTTTATCACATCTCACTCCAACTGACTGCATCTTATGACAACACAGCTTATCAAATGCAAGCCAATCGCATCTCTTCGTCTTCTGTTTCTGCTGTTCTCTACTCCTGGAATGCTTCGCAGCGTCATGACAGGAGAGATCTCTAGAACGGACCCGTCTTTTCGCTTAGTATTTAGTAATTTTCAGTGTATCTTCTATTTCTGCAGTCCACAATCTGCGTGGTCGACCTCTGACTCAGTTACCGTTGTTTATCTGTGTAACACTGCTTTCTGTGGTGTCCTATCTGATGCCAATCTTATTAGACGACCAAACAATGTTATCTGCTGTCTACTGATAAAGTTCAGTACTGGTTCTGTATCGACTCTACTTCTGAAATCATCGCTCCTAAGTCGATCTTTCCTCGTTACACCTTGCATAGTACGTAAACATTTCATTTCTGTTGTGAATATTTCCTTCTCTCTTCTGAAAGCTGTGTCCATATTTGGCATTCATAGCATTGCGCTGGTGAAAATTTTGTGTTCGACAATGCTCTTTTAGTGTGCATTTTCACGTTCTCGCATTTCAAAATTGGTGCGATTTGGCCTAAAACTTGATTTGCTTTATAGCAGCTGTGATATTAATTTTTGAGATGATCATAATGCATGTTCTCTCACAAGCGTAGACCGACAGACAGAGACATAAAACAGACAAGACAGAAGGTAGGCAGGCAGACGGAACACAGAATGCTGACGGACAGACGAAAGACAGAAGGTAGACAGACAGATAGACAGACGGACAGAGAGACAAAAATGACAGACAGATAGACAGACAGACAGATTAGATAGATAGACAGACAGATAGACAGACAGATAGACAGTCAGACGTATAGATAGATATATAGATTACATTAGATTAGATAAATACATTTGATAGATAAGTAACAGATGTGTAGGTGGGTAGACAGGTAAAAT